GACTACGGAGAAAGCACGAGTTGTGAGTGATCGCAGCGTTCCTTGTCTTCCCTACCACTTGCGAGTTCACGGGGCAAAATGAAAAGAGTTTCTCTTTTATACCAAAAAATGGTTCATAAGGATAGCAGAAACAATGGCAAAACTGACTACATCAGGTGCAAGGTTTCCTAGCACACAGGCACGTTGACCTCCAGTGCATCAAAGTCGGCGACCTGTCGTAATTGCAAGTCCGCACCGCTCCAAGGCTGCAGAGTGGCGGCTTGCCAACATAGCAAGTCGGCGGCTTGCCAACGCTACGGCAAGGCGGGGGTCCAACGTTGCATCCGCAGGTGACTGCAGCGCACAATTTTCGCACCTACTTCGCAGGTCCTTCGTCGACCACCAAATCAAAGTCGGCCGCCGACTTCCTATCGTCGGCGGCTTCGCAGTGGCCCCGTGCAAGTCGACCAACTTCGTCGACCTGCTCGTCCAAGTCGGCGTCGCCCACTGCAGACGGTCGGCTGCACCTACCGCACACCCGACCACGAAGTCGGCTCCGCCCAAGCAAGGACGGGGCCAACTCTCGTTAACAGAGGCGACGGGGTCCATGATGCGGCGGATCATGAAGAGGACAAGAACAGAGGAGCATAGAGAGGAGCTCGGCAAGAGGAGATACATGTCAAGCTCGAGAGGGACGATGGACACAGGTGTGGGAGGCCGGAGACTGGCCAGGAGATAGAAGAGGAGACAGTTTTGAACGGAGACGAAGATGAGAAGGAGACAAGTTCGGAGAAAGAAGCATGGGACCGTAGACTGGAAGAGATGGTGAGGGGGGAGCAGGAGGTCGGCCAGTCGAAAGGGTAAAACATGCGAAGAAGCTCAAGTGTAGATACAGGCGGTGACAGCGGTTGCTGCTGCGGCGGCGGCTGCCCCAAAACAGGTACCCCCTGTGGTAGCACCCCCAGAACCACCACCCCCAGGATCCACAGAGACTCGTGTTGGCAGCAATGGCTGCTGCCACGACTGCGAGGACGACGTCGGTGACGGCAGAGACTGCGGCAGCGGCTGCGACAAAGGGGTCGTCACATAAGGCGCACCTCCACGCCCCACCGCTGTTGCCTCGCTCCCTTGTCAGCATGCTGCCGCGTCGGCCAGTCGGCCCTGCTGCTGTAAGCCTGCCGCTCCTGCCGCGCTCGAGCTGCCGCTGCCTGCTCCTACTGCGCCCTCGCCTCCTAACCGCCGTGCCAGTGCCTACCACCATCACGCTTGCTGCGCCAGCTACGTGTCCTCCCGCGCACTGCCGCACATGCGACGCTCGGACTGCACGCCTTGTCGCGCCCTGGTGCGCGTCTCTAATACCATGTTAACGAAGGAATGGAATGAGTAGAATGAGAATATACTCGGGGATATACTGTATGTGATTATGTACCCTTTATAGGCCACCTCAACCTAGCCTACAATAGTCCATATCAATATAACGTGTACGTTGGCAACAATCTCCAATTTAACCCTTGACTCTACCATTGTTGCGATCATTCCCCTTCTTTCCTCTTCTCCCCTTTCCCTCTTCCCTCTCACCAAGCCACATTCAGCGCATAGAAGGCCCATGCTTGACTCTCACCCATGTCACCATCCATACATCCAACCCCCAAATCCGTGCTGATGATCTCTGTGATTCCCCTTCTTTTCTCTTCTCCCCCATCTTCCCACCCATCCTCCCACTGCTCCACAGCATGCCAATCTCAGCGCATAGAATTCCCATGTCTCATACTCACCTTTGTAATCATGGTAGTGGAGTAACACATGAGGTCCCACTTGTATTTCCTTGCCTATATAGTGCCATCTTAAGGGCGGGTCCAAGAATGTACGTATTCGCCGAAAACCCTACCCAACCACTTTGTTCGTCAAATAGAACTTTCTGGATCAGCGTCAAACCCTGTTCAACCGCATTCAGACGTACTCTCTGGACACGCCCTAATTAGCACATTCATTAAACACGTAACATAACAAAAAGAATGGTGGGAGTGACTTGCGAGGCGCCTGCGTTGTGAACACCGTGATTTGCTCGTGCTTTGCTGACTTCGCACTCGACTGACCAATGCAACACGCCATGTCGAAAGCAACGTGGCGGGGAATAGTGCCAGCGAGGCAAGTCAGGCGGATTCCACCTCGTCTTGTCGGCAATCCACCTCGCTCGCGCGCTCCCTCCATCTCACTGCCCCATCGCCCGCACGTACTCCTCCGCCCCCACCGTGACTCCCTTGGATGTATCTGCCCCAACCCCCACCCTCCTCAGTCCTTCCCTCCCCCCACCTGTCCCAGACGATCTACCATTTCAGCACGTCCAGTCCAGTTGTAAATTTCTTTAGTCATTCAACATCTACTAGCAACATGCTTGTTCCTGAGGCTCAGCTCCGTTCATCGAACCGCCATTCTAGCATTGCATCTCGCCATAGTGCACGACACCATTCGTTTCACACGCGCGCGACATTGCGCCAGGGTTTCGTTTCAGCAACCGCCATCATGTGTCAGGGGCCCACCCGCCTCTCGCATTTCACGTTCAAGCGCGTCTCCAAGTGCCCGCCGGGCCGCGCCAGCCATGAGCGCAGCCCTCCAGCTCCGCTCGCTGGCGGAGCTCGTCCTGCCGCCGCGACGAGCTTGCGGAGCTCGTTAGCAGCCGCACCCGCTGCGAAGCGAAGGAGGCTGACACGATGCGAGGACCCCGCGAGCCGCATGCTCAACCATTCTCCCGCGACAGCGCCCCGGAACAATGGAACCGTGGCAGACGCTCTGACGCAACTAATTCGCTCGAAGAACCCTGCAGGGACACGAGGGCAGATTCACTGCGACACTACGACGAGCGCGGGCACCAGCTCCGACAACCAGTTGAACCGCAGGACCCGCATAGACGACCTTAAGAAGGGGCGCGCGCGGATCGACTCACTGGCCGCACTTGGTTCCGCCTCTGCCGCGCAGCAGGTAGTGAGCGGCTCAGCCGGTGCTGCGCGGCGCGCCTCGACTCGTCGCGCGGACGGCCTTCCAACGGCCGACCCCCCCGCAGCTGCGGCGCTGGATGCCGTGCGGCTCGCTCGCGAGCCCCTGGGCCCCCCGTGTCACCTTGCCGCCCGCTGCCCTCCGCTCCCCCACGCCCTCGTGTTTGCCTTCCCTTCAGCCGCCTCCCTTCAGCCTGCTAGCCGCGGCTGGGAACGCGCGGGCGTAGCGCAGCCGGGGGTGGTCGAGGCGTTAAAAAAAATCCAGCAGCGACGGTGGGGAAGCGAGGGAACGGCGGGAGTGGCGCCAGTCGCGCCAGCGCTGCGCGCGGAGTCATCGGAGCCATTGGATCCGCCCCCCTGCTCTGCCCTCGACTGCGAATACCCGCGCCACGCCACCTGCTCCGCCGCCTCCACCTCCGCCGCTCCACAGCAGGCCGTCGTCCCCCCCATTCCCCCGCCTCACTCCCCGCCACTTGCAGCGTTCCCCCACTGCTTGGCACAGGTGGCGCGCGCACATCGCAGTGCGCATCCCAGGTGGGTGGGGATGGGCGCAGCAGGGCGGGGTGACGCAGATGAGAAGGCGGGAACAATCGCGAGGGTGCTGCAGCAGCTGGCGGAGAGGAGGGCTGCGCAGTTGGGGCAGGCGGAGGAAGACAGCAAGGAGGGGCGGGCAGGGCGAGGGCAGGCGTGTGGGACGGTGACAGCAGGGCAGGGCGGAGAGGGGGGCGATGACAGCAACAACGGCAGTGACGTGCTGGACGAGCCAATCAGCACGCTCCAGGTCCCAGCTGCCGCTGCTGCTATGGGTGCACGTGCGGAGAGCAGGGTAGCGGGCGGAGAGGACGCGTCAGAGGCTCTAGTGGACGCGTGGCTGGCGTGCCCTCCGGAGCCCCCTGGCACCAGCATGCCGGCTGCTGCAGCGAGTCCGAGTGCGAGTGAGAGTGAGAGTGTGTGTGTGTGTGCTTGGTGCCCGTCACTAAAGACCGTGGTGGGGAGCGAGGGATGCCTTTGGTGCACGGATGAGGGGCGGGGAGTGGAGGAGTGCAGAGTGTGAGGTGGGCACAGGGGCTTCAACAGGTGAAGCTGGCAGGAGATGGGAGGGACTGGGGGCGGCACGTGGGTGTACGTACGGACCTCATGAGCACACGGTGCGTTGAGGGGCACGCATGGAAGGGGGTTGTAGCGTGCACATGCTCTGCAGGCTGCAGCCATTGCAGTGACGAGCATGTGGGGTGGGGGAGGCAGGCAAGCCAAGGGCTAATGGACCTGCAGTGGTGGTGGCTGGGGCAGGTGCATGGGCAGACACGGGGTGGAGGTGCAAGCGGCAGAGAGAAAGGCAAAGGAAGGAGGCATGTGTGTAGGCAGTGGAAAATGCAGACATAGGGTTGTAGAGGAGCATGTACGGTACTTGTGACAATTGTACTCGTGCCCGTGACGACATGCCATCATGTTGTCTTCAGTCAGTACTATGGAGCCTTGATGCCTTCACGCTGCGGACTAGCAAGCTCTCAATATACCACTGCTTATTTTACACATGCATTCCTACAACCTTTGCTGCATGACCATGAAAACACTGCACTTTGATTTAGCATAACACACCCGATAGATATGGTGCACTCAAACAGCAATGTTAGGTTAGGCGTGAAGCACACGAGGCAGTGCTGAGAGAGCACGGACGGGGGGAGGGAGGGTGGTCATCCGAAGCCGGCCATGCGTGCATCCCGGGGCGTGTCGGGCACCTGCACAAAGGGATGCTGCAGCAGCTGCACCACAGCAGAGGGGGAATAGAAGCGGCGGATGGCTAGTGAGGAGGGGTGATGATGGAGCTAGCTTGCTGTTTCAGGGCAGGCTTGAGAAAGGAATGAATAGATTGGGGGTGCATCTGGTGTCCCAAGCCTGCCCCAGGCAACTGTGTGGCAATGCGTGGTGCAACTTTGTGAGGCATGAGGCACACCAGCAGACATGAGGCACACCAGCAGCACGCCCTGCAGCAACAGCCTTGTTACAACACACGCACTTGTACATTCTCTAACGCCTTTCAGGTGCAAGGCACACCCGAGTAACAGAAGCACCCACCTGGGCAGCAGAGGCACTGACCTGGGCGGCGGAGGGGCGGAGGGCGGGGTCGAGCTGGAAGCAGGCAGCGAGGAAGTCACGGCCCTCCTCACTGCTCTCCTCGGGGGTGGGCGGGCCCGTGGTGGTCTTGGCTATGTGGAATATGGCCGACCACGTGTTGTCCATGCCCGGCCATGGGTGGCTGCACCGGGGCAGGGGAGACAGAGGCATGCATGCATGTGCCATGCCGTGCACAGGGACAGGATGAGAGTGGCGCACAGGCATACGGGTTGAGGGTGGCACACAATCACACACCTTCCACCACAAGCATCACACAAAAGAAGCACATTGTGCATGCAGAGAGCTCAAACTCCCAGGTCAGCAGTGATCCAGCTCCATGCACGCGCTGCACATGGCTCCACCGGGCGCTCCCTTGGACTCGGATGCTGGTTGCGTGCGGGCGGCACACACACCCATTCAGCAGAGTGTCGCCCCCTCACAACCCATTGCCATTGTCACCTTCAATGACGGTGCAGCCCTGACCTGCCGGTGAGCATCTCAATGACGGTGCAGCCGAGGCTCCAGATGTCTGCCTTGCGGCCGTACCCCGCACCCGTGATCACCTCGGGTGCCATCCAGAACACCGACCCGCGGATCGACTTGCACCCCTCGCCCACCGTCCCCTCCTGAAACGCCTGCACGCAGGGGAGAAGGGGGGGTGTGGGGAGAGGAAGAAGGATAAGACTTGAGCGGAAATGGTAGTGGATAGTGCAGACTGTTGTGAGAAACGGAAGAGGGGACGCCGTGGAACATATTGAAGGCAGGCACAAACCACAGATGATGGGTAGAAGAGAGCACGCATGCAGGAGTCGATGTGGGTGGTGGGGAGAGGCGCACACCTTGGAGGCCCCAAAGTCAGCGAGCTTGATGACCCCATCGCGGTCCACGAGCACGTTGCCGCCCTTGATGTCGCGGTGGATGATCTTGCAGCGGTGCAGATACTCCAAGCCCAGCAGCAGCTGGCGCGTGTACACGCGCACCAGCGACTCGCTGAACTTGCCAAACTTCTCCAACATGCTGCCACGCTCCAGCGATGATGCCGCGGCACACACGGGACAGGGGGACGGGAGAGGATAGGACAGGAGAAGTGAGGATGCGCAGTGATACATAAAGGAGCACTGGAGATGCACACAGATACAAGATGCAGCCCCACCTGTGAATGGAGCCCCCTTCTTAAAGCCCACTTGTGGATGCAGCCGCCCTCTTAAAGCCAACCTGTGGATGGAGCCACCCTCTTAAAGCCCACCTGTGGATGGAGTCCTTCTCTTAAAGCCCACCTGTGGATGGAGCCGCCCTCTTAAAGCCCACCTGTGGATGGAGTCCTTCTCTTAAAGCCCACCTGTGGATGGAGCCGCCCTCTTAAAGCCCACCTGTGGATGGAGTCCTTCTCTTAAAGCCCACCTGTGGATGGAGCCGCCCTCTTAAAGCCCACCTGTGGATGGAGTCCTTCTCTTAAAGCCCACCTGTCGATGGAGTCCTTCTCTTAAAGCCCACCTGTGGATGGAGCCGCCGGAGACGAATTCGAGGAAGATGTAGATGGAGCCGTCGGAGGGGTCCTTCTCCATGTCGATGTACCCCACTATGTGGCGGTGCCGCATGCGGCGGTACAGCACGATCTCGCGCTCCAAGGCTGCGATGTGCATGGCGCGCTCGTCGCCCGCGTTGATCTTCATCTGCTTCACCGCCATCAGCTCGCCCGTGCGCTCGTTCAGCCCCAGAAACACCTGCCCCGCCCCACGGGGGGTGTGGGGATGACGGGAGGGGGAAGGAGTGAGGCAGGAGCATGAGAGAACGCAACGGGAATGGGGGGAGGTGGCAAGGGGGGAAAAAACGCGGCAGTGTGGAGCGGCAGGTGGGAAGCAGCGTGATGGCGCGGCGTGGTCCACCTTGCTGTACGCGCCTTCACCCAGCAGCTCACCTTGCCGTATGCCTATGTTAGGAAAGACGCGTCCTGCGTCCTGGACGAATGCGTCCAGACGCAGGACGCGTCACCTGGACCTGTAAGACGCACCAAAAGACGCAATCTCGGGCAGGGCAAAAAAAACCCCCGGGCAGGCCCAAAAAAAGTGTTTAGGTCTTGGCAGAGGGGAGGGGGGGGGACGTACCACACTTTTCAATGCAATTTTTACCCCAACCTCAATTTTTTCCCCCAAAATTTTTTACTAAGGTGAGTCACGCGTCACGCATGGGTTGTGAGTGAATTCTCAATTTGCATGAGTTGTTATGAAATGTTGGGGGGGGCTGGTTTACAATGGCGCATTGGGCTTTGGGGGTCGAAATTTCGGGATTTCGACATTCGCGCCGAGATCGCGAATGTCGAAATCGCGGAAAACTTTTTTTTTTCGGGCTGCCCGAATTTTTTTTCACCGTGCGTCCTGCGTCCTAGCGTCCGGACGCTGCGTCCAGACGCAGGACGCAGCGTCCTGGCTGCGTCTTTCCTAACATAGCCGTATGCGCCTTCACCAAGCAGCTCACCTTGCCGTACGCCCCTTCACCAGCAGCTCACCTTGCCGTACGCCCCTTCACCCAGCAGCTCACCTTGCCGTACGCCCCTTCACCAGCAGCTCACCTTGCCGTACGCCCCTTCACCCAGCAGATCACCTTGCCGTACGCCCTTCACCCAGCAGCTCACCTTGCCGTACGCCCCTTCACCAGCAGCTCACCTTGCCGTACGCCCCTTCACCAGCAGCTCACCTTGCCGTACGCCCCTTCACCCAGCAGCTCACCTTGCCGTACGCCCCTTCACCCAGCAGCTCACCTTGCCGTAACCGCCTTCGCCCAGCAGCTCACCTTGCCGTACGCGCCTTCACCCAGCAGCTCACCTTGCCGTACGCCCCTTCACCCAGCAGCTCACCTTGCCGTACGCCCCTTCACCCAGCAGCTCACCTTGCCGTAACCGCCTTCGCCCAGCAGCTCACCTTGCCGTACGCCCCTTCACCCAGCAGCTCACCTTGCCGTACGCCCCTTCACCCAGCAGCTCACCTTGCCATACGCGCCTTCACCCAGCAGCTCACCTTGCCGTACGCCCCTTCACCCAGCAGCTCACCTTGCCGTACGCGCCTTCACCCAGCAGCTCACCTTGCCGTACGCGCCTTCACCCAGCAGCTCACGTTGCCGTACGCGCCTTCACCCAGCAGCTCACCTTGCCGTACGCGCCTTCACCTAGCAGCTCACCTTGCCGTACGCGCCTTCACCCAGCAGCTCACCTTGCCGTACGCGCCTTCACCCAGCAGCTCACCTTGCCGTACGCGCCTTCACCCAGCAGCTCACCTTGCCGTACGCGCCTTCACCCAGCAGCTCACCTTGCCGTACGCCCCTTCACCCAGCAGCTCACCTTGCCGTACGCGCCTTCACCCAGCAGCTCACCTTGCCGTACGCGCCTTCACCCAGCAGCTCACCTTGCCGTACGCGCCTTCACCTAGCAGCTCACCTTGCCGTACGCGCCTTCACCCAGCAGCTCACCTTGCCGTACGCGCCTTCACCCAGCAGCTCACCTTGCCGTACGCGCCTTCACCCAGCAGCTCACCTTGCCGTACGCGCCTTCACCCAGCAGCTCACCTTGCCGTACGCCCCTTCACCCAGCAGCTCACCTTGCCGTACGCGCCTTCACCCAGCAGCTCACCTTGCCGTACGCGCCTTCACCCAGCAGCTCACCTTGCCGTACGCGCCTTCACCCAGCAGCTCACCTTGCCGTACGCGCCTTTACCCAGCAGGTCACCTTGCCGTACGCGCCTTCACCCAGCAGCTCACCTTGCCGTACGCGCCTTCACCCAGCAGCTCACCTTGCCGTACGCGCCTTCACCCAGCAGCTCACGTTGCCGTACGCGCCTTCACCCAGCAGCTCACCTTGCCGTACGCGCCTTCACCTAGCAGCTCACCTTGCCGTACGCGCCTTCACCCAGCAGCTCACCTTGCCGTACGCGCCTTCACCCAGCAGCTCACCTTGCCGTACGCGCCTTCACCCAGCAGCTCACCTTGCCGTACGCGCCTTCACCCAGCAGCTCACCTTGCCGTACGCCCCTTCACCCAGCAGCTCACCTTGCCGTACGCGCCTTCACCCAGCAGCTCACGTTGCCGTACGCGCCTTCACCCAGCAGCTCACCTTGCCGTACGCCCCTTCACCCAGCAGCTCACCTTGCTGTACGCGCCTTCACCCAGCAGCTCACCTTGCCGTATGCGCCTTCACCCAGCAGCTCACCTTGCCGTACGCCCCTTCACCAGCAGCTCACCTTGCCGTACGCCCCTTCACCCAGCAGCTCACCTTGCCGTACGCCCCTTCACCCAGCAGCTCACCTTGCCGTACGCCCCTTCACCAGCAGCTCACCTTGCCGTACGCCCCTTCACCCAGCAGCTCACCTTGCTGTACGCCCCTTCACCAGCAGCTCACCTTGCCGTACGCCCCTTCGCCCAGCAGCTCACCTTGCCGTACGCCCCTTCACCCAGCAGCTCACCTTGCCGTACGCCCCTTCACCCAGCAGCTCACCTTGCCGTACGCCCCTTCACCCAGCAGCTCACCTTGCCGTACGCGCCTTCACCCAGCAGCTCACCTTGCCGTACGCGCCTTCACCCAGCAGCTCACCTTGCCGTACGCGCCTTCACCTAGCAGCTCACCTTGCCGTACGCGCCTTCACCCAGCAGCTCACCTTGCCATACGCCCCTTCACCCAGCAGCTCACCTTGCCGTACGCGCCTTCACCCAGCAGCTCACCTTGCCGTACGCGCCTTCACCCAGCAGCTCACCTTGCCGTACGCGCCTTCACCCAGCAGCTCACCTTGCCGTACGCGCCTTCACCCAGCAGCTCACCTTGCCGTACGCCCCTTCACCCAGCAGCTCACCTTGCCGTACGCCCCTTCACCCAGCAGCTCACCTTGCCGTACGCGCCTTCACCCAGCAGCTCACCTTGCCGTACGCGCCTTCACCCAGCAGTTCGCCGCGCTTCCACTTCATGGTGCCCAGCGGGGACACCTCGGGGTCGTCCTGCAGCAGCTCCTCCGGCAACGCCTCGTCCTCCTCCTCCTCCCCACCCTGCCCCCCTGCCTCTTTCTGCCCCGCCTTATCCTGCTTCTCCTGCTCCTTCCCCCCGCCTTTCTCCTTGCCCTCCTTGCTCCCTCCCGCCTTTACATCATCCCCCATGCCTGACTTCGGCGCAGCACCTCTGTTCTCGGGCCGGGTCTTGCACTCGCACTGCACCTGCCCGCACGCCACACACCCGTTCCTGGCAGCGTCATCCCGCCAGTCGGCGCGGATGAGCTTCAGGTCCTCCTCGGACACCGATGCCGCACCCATCTTCCTGCCAGCACCAGCTGACGACGGCGGCACAAACGACTGGCACTTGCGATCGCTGCGCTCCTTTCTCTCAGCCCTCTCGCTTGCGTCCTTGCCTTTCCCCCTGCCCTCGCTCGCACCTCCCTCGTCCAAGCCACTGCTCCCGGGTCTGCCCCGGTCGCGGTCGCGGTCGCCCCCCTCGGGCACGGCGAACTTCACGGACCTGCGCTCGCGGCCCCCCCGCGGAGTCATGCGCCCCCCGCCAACGCCGCCGCCACTGATGCTGCCGCCTCCTCCCCCAGCCGTTGCACCCGATGGGGGAGCCGGCCCACCGGTGGGGGTGCGCGGGCTGCTGTCGTCGTCACATGGCGCTGCCTGTGCGCCCCTCAGCGGACTCCTCGGCCTCGCACTGCCTGCACTGCCTGCGCCCCCGCGCCTGCCCGAATCCTCCTCGCCGCCCGCACTGCTGCCGGGGCTGCCGGCGCGCTGCCCGGCGCCATCAGCCACGCGCAGCGAGGAGAAGCGACGGGAGAAGTCGGAGGGGGGAGGGGAGCGCGAGGGCGTGGAGGGGCCGCCCCCCGCTGCAGCCTTGATGGCGCGCGACCGCCGGCTCACCACCTCGCTGTCACTGTCCGCACTGCCACTGTCCCTCACCTGCCTCAAATGCGCTGCCCCTTTCCCCCCTCCCCCCTTACCCCCGCTCCCCATCCCCTCCCCCTGCCGTTCTTCTGAGCTGACTGACCGGTGTGGCTGCCTGTCCCCGCCACTGCCCGCGCCCCCCCCGCTCCTGTCCGCCAGGGAGCCTCTGTCTGGCAGGGCGCCGCCGTTCCAGGAGGCATAGGGGTTGTCGCGCACGGCCCGCGGGGTGGACGCCCCCCGCCTCTCCACGCCACTGCCCCCCGGCCCCACGCGCCCTCCCATCCCCTTCTCTCGCTGCCCTCCCCCCCCCCCCTCCCCCTCCCCCTCCCCCTCCCCCTGCCGCCCTCTCCTCCACGTCATCATCCGACCCCACTCGCTCAGCGCCCACCCTCCTGGGCGTGGATGCCCCCCCGGCTCCTCCCCCCCCTCCTGCCCTCCCGCCCCCCTCCCCTCCTCTTGGCGTCCCTGCCCCGCCCCTGGGGGTGCTGGGTCCCCCTCCCCCGGCGCCCCCTGCCCCGCCACCCACAAGTCGCTCCGCGCGGAAGTCTGCAAAGTTGCGGGGGCGGGCGAGGCGGGACACCTCGCCGCGGGCGCCGGCGCTGAGGGAGGCGGCAGCGGGGGCGTGGCGGGTGCGGGGGCCAGAGCCACCCTCGGCGTCCGACATGCTGCTGGCGTCCCCTGCTGCCGCCACGATGCGGCGCTGGTAGTGCGCGCCCCCCGACTCCACCGACAGCGTGCGTGCCGCGTCCCTCACGTGCATCTGCACCTGCCGCCGCGCCACCGCTGCCGTCGGCGCTGCTTCCTCCCCTTCCGCGCCTCCGCCCCTCCCACCCGTGCTGCTGCTACTGCTGGGCGGGGTGGTGGCGGAGGGGGCGGCAGGCGAGGAGGCGGGGGGCGAGGGCGAGGGCCAGGGGAGAGCGGGCGAGTCGTCGTGGCGGTCGTTCTCCCACGCCTGCTGGAAGATCTGCTCGTTGCTCTCCACCATCTCCTGTGGACTCTCATACCCCTCCTCCCCTCGTCCCCCCCGCCGTGCCTCCTTCTCACTGCCCCCCCCGCTGCCCCACTCATCCCCGCGCCCCCCCCACCGGTCGCCCGCCAAGCGCCCGCGCATGCTGCCCATGCCGCCCCCAGTGGCGGCCTCGACAGCAGCGGAGGCGGCGGCCCTCATGCGCGCCATGCCGGCGCGTGGGGACGCCACTCGGTGCGACGCCACACCGTTTACGCCTGGAGGGGGTGGGGGGGTGAGGAGGAGGGCGGGGCACGGATGGGCACAAAGGGACGGGGCATGACGCGCTGTGAGACAGTGTGAAGCACAGCAGCGGCAGCGAGTGGTGATGGTTCGTGCCCGAGGGGAGTGGAGCGAGAGCAGGGAAGGGGAGTGGAGCGAGAGCAGGGAAGGGGAGTGGAGCGAGAGCAGGGAAGGGGAGTGGAGCGAGAGCAGGGAAGGGGAGTGGAGCGAGAGCAGGGAAGGGGAGTGGAGCGAGAGCAGGGAAGGGGAGTGGAGCGAGAGCAGGGAAGGGGAGTGGAGCGAGAGCAGGGAAGGGGAGTGGAGCGAGAGCAGGGAAGGGGAGTGGAGCGAGAGCAGGGAAGGGGAGTGGAGCGAGAGCAGGGAAGGGGAGGCACACCTTGGTCGTCCCACGAGTCGTCCCCCAGCAGCCCCCCCTCATGCGGGCTGCGCCGGTCCATGCCGCCAGGGCTGGCAGGGGGGGACGCGGCCATGGCAGCAGCGGGCGTGGCGGAGGAGGCGAGGTGAGCATGGGGGGGCAGGAGGCCGTGGCGGTGGTGGTAGTCGTGCAGCTTGGAGAAGAGCGCTCGGATGCGGTCCGTGGACGCCAGCTGCTGCGGCAGCAGCCCGTCGCTGTTGCGCGCATACATGTTGGCGCCCGCCACCAGCAGCAGCTTTATCATGCCCCTGCCGCCAGAAAAGGGTGGGCAGAAGCAGCAGGTGGGAGCAAGGACTCAGAATGCGAGCAGGTCAAGGCGGGCATAGCGCATGAGAGTGTTTTCGAACCAGCCCCTGAGGAGTTGTGCATGTGATGAATAGAACAACAGACTGGCAGATGATAGCAATACACGTGGCACATCCACCACATGTGGTACATAAAAAACACATAGCTCATTGAGTCATATTGCAACCCGGAGCATCAGAGATGGAGAGGTGGCAAAGGGGTGAGAGGCAGGATGGGACTGATGAGATGGGACAGGGTGTGGCGAGGGGGGAGGTGGAGGAGGGGTACCGGTGGGCGTCAGCGCATGCGTAGTGCAGCGCGGTGCAGAGCTGCGCGTCGTGAGCGTTGATGTCGGCGCCGTGTGACAGCAGCAGCGTCACCGCCTTCTCACTGCCCGCCTGCACCGCCAGCAGTATGGGCGGCATCTGCCCACGCCCAAGGGGGAGTGGGGGGAGCAAAGCAAATGGGGTAGGCAAGGCAAGGACAGCGAAAAGGGAGAACTTAAAATACAAGTACGCATGAAAGCTCTTTGGGGACTCGGAAAGAACGGACCGACTGCTCCACCCACCTGCGACGCGTGCCCGCCATCGGGGTCGGCCCCCCACTCCAGCAGCGCAGCAGCGGCGTCCACGCTGCCCGCCACCACCGCCTCGTGCAGCGCCGCCCGCCCCGTGCCTGCACGGGGGGCATGGCGTGGGGAATGGGCCAGGCACGTGGGACGCGAATGAGGAGACGCAGCGAGGTAGACGAGTCGTGGAGGAGGGGGGAGCGAATGGTGGATAACATGTGCGAAAAGAGCAGAAAGGGAGGGTAACAGTGAGGAGGGAAAAGTAAGGCAGGGTACGTTGAGGATGGGGGATGAGAGACGCGGCGTACCAGGGTGCGCGCAGTGCAGCAGCGCGGTGCGCGACGGCGCGTCCTGCAGGATGCGGTTGACGCGCGCCACGTCGTCGTCCCGCACCGCCTCCAGCAGCGCCAGCACGCCGCGCAGCACCTCCGCCTCGCCGCGCGACGACGCCTGATAGCTGCCCGTCGGCGCCCCCCCCATGCCCATGCCCGAGAGCATGGCGGGGCGGGCGGGCTTGGGCACGCGGCGGGGACTCATCACCTCTTGCGGTGAGTGCGCGGCGCCGTCAGTGCCGCCCGCATAGTTGGGTAGCGACGAGAACTGCGCGACGGGGCAAGCAGGAGAGGGGAACGGAGGGGTTGCGAGGGAGGTGGGGGAGACGCAAAGGACGCGAGGCACAGGCGGGCGGGTGCTTGGCTTCACGCGTCCATGCAGCGCGTTGCGCCTCACGACGCCGTCGCTTGGTTAGGGGGCGCGCCGCAGAGCAATCCATCGGGCGCCGCGAACCGACAAACCGAGGGAAAATGAGAATGGGAAAATTTGAGCAAAATTTGACTGGCGAGGGGGGAGGGGACAATCGACAAGCGCGAGAAAATTGGTTCGTCGCAACACCTACCCGATGAGGCACCGCCGTGGGCTACATGACGGCTCCCCACCCACTGCCCTACTTCGCACCTTGCGCACTTGTTTCGCCTCGCCACCTCGTCGCGGGTCGCCCCGCTCGTGGCGCCCTCTGTCCGCCTCGCTATCCCCAATGGCATCCGACCGCACGTGCCCCGAGCTCATCCCCGCACCCAGCGCCGCGCCCATGCTGGAGCGCAGCGGCGACGTGCTCAAGCCAGTTGCCTGGTACCCCGCGGCGGACGGCGACGGGGCGGAGGCGCGTCGCGCGGCCCCTCGCTGCGATAAATAGTCGGAAGCGAAGTCGTTGGCGTCAAGGTAGTCGTGGGGGTATTCCTGCGCGTACTCCTCGGGATACTCGTGCGCGTACTCCTCGGGGTACTGGTCAGGGTACTCGTCCGCGTCCAGCACCTGCGCCGCCATCTGCTGCCCCTCATTCACGCGAATTAACGGCCGGCTCCCCGCCCGCCGCCTCTGCTGTCCCGCTCCGTACTCCCCTTCTCCCCCTGCCCCTCCCCCTACCCCATTGGACCCGGCATTTCGAGGCGAAAGCATATGGTCGTCGAAAGCAGGGCTACGCCCCCCACGTGGAGTGGTGGCCGCCGGGCCTGGGTGTCCGGGTCCGCGATGGCGATTCACCACGCGAGGCGGACTGCCCTCACCGTCGCTCACGGCGCGCGTCATGGTCAGTTACAGAAGGAAAACGCCGCATCGCAATGTGAGCCCGCAACTTAATCGACTTTGCAGACATCGCTCTACCTAACGGGTCTGACCTCTGGTGACCTGTGGTCCGACCAAGTCTATCAGCCATAAATGGATTGGCGAGCTAAAAGTTGGATGGGTGTATCAAACCCTAGCTGGCGAGAAGTGCATCCAGGCAATCCCGAGGGCAGGGGACGAATTTGCCATCTTGAAGTTGGCTCGGTAACCTGCAATATGCTACCTGCAAATCTAAAAGATAACATATTCTAGTCGAATTTCATAAACTGGACCTAGTTCAAACTACCTCAACCCTAGTTCAAATCTATCCGTTTCTTGTCAAATCTCCTTAACATCACTTTTTGCAAACGTTCACAGCAAAGCTATCGTGTTGGAAGGAAAAATACAAATATTAAGGATAACCCTAACAGAATCATCTTATTCTACCAGCAATCCCTCCACATAATTCTTTGTCAAAACACATATGTTTATAATATAGACTGGAGTGGGATAGTCCATAGAGGGTACAACTCATTAGGGTTACTTGTACCGTACTCCCCATTGCTAGTTATGGCGGGTTTTAAGCGGTTGAAGACCTCGCGTGTTGAGAATGAACTATGAATGAAGTGAGTACAAATAGGAAACCCTAATTGGGTTGTACCCCCTATGGGATACCCCACTATAGCCTACACAATAGCATAAGCTATAAAGATCTGACACACCCCCATAGGCAAAGTGGGGGAGAACAAGGGGTCACAAGACCAGTCAAGCAAAACAAAGCAAAGCTCAGGGTGGATCACAAAGTCACCACACATTCTGAGCACAAGTTCAAGGCCAGAAGGCCAGTTCACATGCAGGAGCATATATATAAGAAGCTAAGTAAGCAAGAGCAAGAGTATATATACCGTCATACCCCGGATATACCCCCATGGGGGGCAATAATAAAACAGGTTTTTTTTAGGGGGGTGGGCTTATAATCGGGTAACTTTATAAGCGCCGGCGTTTATAAAACGACATATATAGTTTATATATTTTTTAACACCAACCTGTAGTTCTCGTGCTTGCATTTTCAACCGAGCCGAAGTTACATGGGGTCGTCTGTGAAATTCTCGCGCGCACTGGGAGATACACCAAATCTGACAGCTCCTGACAGCTTCTGACAGCTTCTGACAGCTCATAACAGCTCCTGCTGACTGGACCCGCATCCATTGCAGGGTCCGATTTTGAAGGGAACCGAATCTGGAGACATCCGCTTGCTAAAGTAAAATTCGTTACAGGGTTTTGAACCCATTTCAAGAATTAAAGTTTACGTGCGCTTATAATAAAACAGGTTTTTTTCAAGGGGTGCGCTTATAATCTAGCAGCGGATATAAGCGCCATGCGCCAATTAAAAGCGCCAGGCGCTTATCCGAGGGTGGCGCTTATATCCGGGGTATGACCGTATATGACAGTACAAGCAAAGTCAAGAAGTGAGCAAGTGAGACAAGACAGGAACAACTCCAAGCTGAGTACAGAAGCGCTGATGATCACAAGGCGCAAGTGCCTTGGTGAAAACATCAGCAGTGTTGGCCTCAGAGGCCACGTACGCAAGCCGCAACTGACCACACTGCTGTAGCTCACGAGCAAAGAAGTAGCGGAGAGCAATGTGCTTCGTTCTGTGCTCCAGTCGCTGCTCTCGACACAAGGCCAGCATGGCCTTGTTGTCTACGTACAGAACTGGAGGAGAACGAGGCGGCTCTCCAAGGTCGGTCAGCAGGTAGGTGAGCCAGCGAAGCTCCTGTGCAGCCATGGCCCCAGCGTAGATCTCACCCTCACAACTGGAGCCGAGAACAGAAGACGAGCGAGTAGCCCGCCACGAGACAGAGCCGGAACCAAGGTTGAAGGTGTAACCCTGTGACGACCGCTGAGTAGCCTGGTCGTCAGCCCATGAAGCGTCTGCGTGCCCAGTGAGGACCACTGGACCGCGCCCTCCAAGCACTAGCCCCATGCCCGACGTACTGCACAAGTAGCGCAACACCCTCTTCGCTGCAGCCATGTGCTCTGGTCGGTGTCTCCCAGGAGGAACATAGCGTGTGAGAATGCTAAGAGGGTATGCAAGGTCAGGTCGTGTGCAGGTCATCAGGTAAATGAGGCAGCCAACAAGCTCTGGATACGGGCCACTCGACTCTACGGACTCATCCGAAGGCAGAGCTGAGAGTGAGTGGCGAGTAGGCAGAGGAGTGGCCTGAGGCGAGGAGTACGTGAAGCCGAAGCGCTGAAGGACCTGCTGCACCATGTGTGACTGAGTCAGGGTAATGGTGCGCTGTGCTCTGTCCCGATTGATCTGCAAGCCAAAGTAGCTGCGCAGTTCCCCCAGGTCTGTGCACGTGTGTCTCTTCTGCAGCTCGGACTTTACGTGGGCGAGTCCAGCAGTGTCAGCAGTGGCAAAGACCAAGTCGTCAACGTACACGAGGATGTAGAAGGGCGGCAGAGAGGTGTCGGTGCGCAGGAACAGTGACGGGTCGGCTGTAGAAGGAGCAAACCCAAGAGCCGCAAGAGTAGTCCTCAGTGTGTCGTGCCACTCACGAGGCGCCTGGCGGAGACCGTAAACTGGACGCTGGAGGCTCCACTGGGTACCAAGAGGGAACGACCCAGTGAATCCAGGTGGGCGACGCAGCCAGATCTCCTCGTGCAGGCTGCCCTGCAAGAAAGCTGTGCTGAAGTAGAGGGAGTGCAGCTCCTAGTCACGGTGAGCGGCAACGTGCAGTAGCACCCGAAGAGTGGTCATCTTCGGGGGTGGGAGAGAAGGTCTGAAAGTAGTCAACTCCCTGCCGCTGACTGAAGCCACGAGCCACGTACCGTGCCTTGAAGACAGGCGGAGAGCCCGGCGGCCGCTTCACCCTGAAAATCCACATGCCACTGACGATGTTCGCCCCAGGAGGGGGGACAACATCAACGTAGGTGCCTGTGGACTTCCAGGACGCCATCTCTGCATCCATAGCTGCCTGCCACTGAGAAGAGTAGGGACCCTCTATCGCCTCCGCGTAAGAGCGCGGAGTCGGGATGTCAAGTGCATCCGGGTCTCCCTCAGGAGTAAGCAGTTGGACACGAGGTGGGGTGAAACAGCAGCCAAGCACTGGAACTCCTCCTGCCTGTCCTCAAGGACGTCCGTGCCAAGAGCACACTCACCCCCGACGGACGGAGGACAGACAGACTCAGACTCAGCGACAAGACTAGCAGCGTAGTCTAGGCGACAGCGAGCAGCAAAGTCGACGAGCTCAGCAACGAGGGCAGACGCAGCAGTGGACTCGAAAGAAGGGTCAGTGACGACAGTAGCAAGGAGGCGCGTGACAGTAGGACGGACAGCACGAAGAGAGTCCGACTCCGGGTCGGCAAGAGAAGGAAGAGAGGACGCAGGAGGAGAAGGTAAAGGGGCACGCAGAGGAGCAGTGGACGGACGCAGAGACATCTGGTGCGTGCCAGGGACAGGAGGAGGACGCTGACGCAAGCCGCGACCACTAGGGCGAGCAGCACGAACAGGCGACGCAGGACGAGACGCGGGCTCACGACGCTCAGCAAGACCTCCAGTAGGACCAGTGTAGGGAGAGGGAGCAGGTAGAGGGGAGGCAGGCTGTAACTGTAGCTGTGACTGGACAGGCTGTGGACACTCTAAAGAAGGAGGAGGACCCGTAGAAGGTGGAAGACCAAGAACCTGCTGCAGGAGTGGAACAAAGTACGGTCGAGGCCGCGCGGCGACGCCAGACACAGTAGGGACAGCACCAGTACCCTAGAAGGAGCACCCGCTCCAGCAGCACCTCCAGCAGCTCCAGAACCTCCAGCAGCACTAGTAGTACCCCCAGCAGGACCGCGGGCAGGAGGCTCAGCACCAACGCCCGCAGCAGCACCAGCTCCAGTCGAACCCGCAGGCCCAGCAGCTCCAGTACTCCCAGCACAAGCACCTCCGGGACCCGCGGCACCAGCACCCACAGCAGTCGAAGAAACTCCTGCTCCAGCAGCACGCCTCCAGCGCCGTGCAAACCACTCGCGCAGCTCCGGGGAAGAGAGTGGCTCCCGGCGAGACGAAGCCCCCGGAGGACCTCCAGGCGTAGCACCTCCAGGCTCAGCACCCGTAGTCGCAGCACCCCCAGGCTCAGCACCCTCAGGCTCAGCACCCCCAGTCGTAGCACCCCTAGGCTCAGCACCACCAGGCTCAGCACCACCAGGCTCAGCACCCCCAGTCGCATTACCCCCAGGCTCAGCACCCCCAGTCGCAGCACCCCCAGGCTCAGCACCCCCAGTCTCAGCACCCCCAGTCGCAGCACCCCCAGGCTCAGCACCCTCAGCAGTACCAGAGTTACCAGTAACCTCGACAGGCTCGACTGCGTCTACCTGGGACACACCTGAAGCGCTACCCCCAGCAGTACCAGAGTTACCAGTAACCTCGACAGGCTCGACTGCGTCTACCTGGAGTAGCAGTACTAATGCCTGGGTCGGGCGGGAAACACCGGTAACAGTCACCCTCATCACTAATAGTCACAGCATACATTGCAGCAAGGATAGCATCAAAGTCAAGATCAAGGATAGCTACTCCTGCCCTAGACAGCTCTCCCCAACGGGGGATCTCACTGGCCTCCGGGAACTGCTGACGCCAAGCGTCCGTCAGGCGGCCAAAGCAGCGCTGGGCGGTGTGGGCACCCCCGCACTGCTCACCCGCGCGGTCGCCGGTGCGAAGGACGTAGGTGCAGGGACCAAAGCTCCCACCACGCTGACGCTGCGTGTACCACTCACGGAGCTGCTGAGGGGACAGGCCCGCACGACCGCGCTGCTGCTGCTGGCGAGTGGCACCACCGGAGCCACTCCTCTGCGAAGACCCGCGACCAGCTCCACCGCCGCCTCCGCCGCCTCCGCCGCCTCCGCCGCCTCCGCTACCGCTGCCGCCTCCGCCACCACCTCCACCGCCGCCACCGCCTCCACCGCCGCCTCCACCGCCGCCACCGCCGCCACCTCCGCCGCCACTGCCGCCACTGACCCCTCCTCCCCCACCTCCACCCCCACCGCCACCCCCACTCCCCCCACTGCCGCCACCTCCACCTCCACCGCCCCCGCTCGCTCTTCCAGTGCCCTTGCCCCCCTTGCCCTTGCCAGGGCGGCGTCTCCCGCTAGGGGCAGACGCCGCACCGACCGACTCAAGACCAAGGAGGTCGGCCGTAGCAGCAGAGGCAACAGAGGGCAGAAGGGGGGAAGGGGAACACCCCTCAAAGATGGGGGTGCGCGGGTCACCACGAGAGGCCCTTACAGCGACAATGCCCTTCTCGGCCGCTAGTAGGGACTTCTCGAGGAGGTCGACAGTGAGAGTGGTGGGAAAGACTGAGAGGAAGTGGTCCCTGACTACGCGAAGGGAGTCAGGGAGACGAGTGACTATGTAGTAGAGGGTGATGTACATGGGGGGGGGGGGTCTTGGCGCAGAAGTCAGCAGGGAGTGCAGCGCGGTAGCGAGTGTCACTAGTGCGGAGGTGCGTAATGAGGTCAGCGACAGTGGGAAAAGCAGCAAGGTCAGGGAAGAGGGATGGTAGCATGAGACGGCTCAGTGCAGCAGTGGCAGGGGAGGAGTAGCGCGCAACTACAGCGTCGTACAAGGTCTGAGCACTCTTGTACTGACTAAAGTGCGCACGCTCAGAGGTAGGGAGGTGGCGACGCACAGCAAGACGTGCAGCAGCGTCGCGCGTGGCCCACTAGGAGCGAACAGTGGCGTCAGCATCAGCAGCAGGGGCAGGGGCAGTGCCAGAGGTGAGGTCAAAGAGAGAGAGACTGTCTGCCCTATCGCACTGTAAGAATAGCTGCAGGTCATCTAGCCAGACCTCAAAGTCAATGGCCCCACCCTCAGCTTCAAAGGCGAGGACACTAGGAGTAGCCATGACCCTAGACGACCAGTGGTGCAAGCAGTAGGGTGGGGGGCAGTGCAGTGACAGAAGTAGCTGTGCTCACCGGACTGTGTAGGCCGGGCGGCTCGGAAGAAGGGGCGGCTCGAACACTCGGCGACTCGGCTGCTGGGCTGCTCGGCGGCTCGGCTGCTGGGCTGCTCAGTGGCTCGGCTGCGGCTCGGCTGCTCAGTGGGGAGGCGGCTCGGCGATGCAGCAGGCGACGAGCAGGGACAGGCGGCGTACGAGCGGCGAAGAGCCGGGACACGGGCGGCGACGGGCCGGGGCACGGGCGGCGCACGGGCGGCGTGAGGCCGGGACGGCGGCAAGGGGCCGGGACGGTCGGCGTATGGGCGGCGTGGGACCAGGACGGCGGTGCGCGGCCTGGACAGGCGGCGCACGGGCGTCGAGGAGCCGGGACGGGCGGCGCGCAGACGTCTAGGGGCCGGGACGGGTGGTGCACGGGCGTCGAAGGGCTGGGACGAGGTGGCGCACGGGCGTCTAAGGGCCGGGACGGGTGGCGCGTGGGCGTCTAGGGGCCGAGACGGCGGGCGCGCGGGCGTCTAAGGGCCGGGACAGGCAGGCGCGCGGGCGTCTAGGGGCCGAAACGGCGGGCGCGCGGGCGTCTAGGGGCCGGGACGGGCGGGCGCGCGGGCGTCTAGGGGTCAAGACGGCGGGCGCGCGGGCGTCTAAGGGCCGGGACGGGCAGGCGCGCGGGCGTCTAGGGGCCGGGACAGGCGGGCGCGCGGGCGTCGAGGGGCCGGGACGGCGGGCGCGCGGGCGGATAAGGGCTGGGACGGGCGGGCGCGCGGGCGTCTAGGGGCCGAGACCGCGGCGCGCGGGCGTCTAGGGGCCGGGACGGGCGGGCGCGCGGGCGTCTAGGGGCCAAGACGGTGGCGCGCGGGCGTCTAGGGGCCGGGACGGGTGGCGCGCGGGCGTCTAGATGCCGGGACGGGCGGCGCGCGGGCGTCTAGGGGCTGGGACTGGCGGCGTGCGGGCGTCTAAGGGCCGGGACGGGCAGCTAAAGGGGGGGCCACTAGGGGCCGAAAAAAAAAAAAAGGAACGAGGGGAGCACAACTCAGGCAGGGGCAGAATGCGCTCCGGGCAGGAAAGAAAAGGACGGTGGGCCCTAGGAACAGTTCCCACGAGGGAACCTGCTCGATACCATGAGAAAGTTAGAACGAGAATGAATGAACTATGAATGAAGTGAGCACAAATAGGAAACCCTAATTGGGTTGTACCCCCTATGGGATACCCCACTATAGCCTACACAATAGCATAAGCTATAGGCCCTTGTTCTTGCAATTTTGCACTCGCTAGGCCCTTGTTCTTGCAATTTTGCACACGCTAGGCCCTTGTTCTTGCAATTTTGCAAACACTAGGCCCTTGTTCTTGCAATTTTGCACACGCTAGGCCCTTGTTCTTGCAATTTTGCACACGCTAGGCCTTTGTTCTTGCAATTTTGCACATGCTAGGCCCTTGTTCTTGCAATTTTGCACTCGCTAGGCCCTTGTTCTTGCAATTTTGCACACGCTAGGCCTTTGTTCTTGCAATTTTGCACACACTAGGCCTTTGTTCTTGCAATTTTGCACACGCTAGGCCTTTGTTCTTGCAATTTTGCACACGCTAGGCCCTTGTTCTTGCAATTTTGCACACGCTAGGCCTTTGTTCTTGCAATTTTGCACATGCTAGGCCCTTGTTCTTGCAATTTTGCACTCGCTAGGCCCTTGTTCTTGCAATTTTGCACACGCTAGGCCCTTGTTCTTGCAATTTTGCAAACACTAGGCCCTTGTTCTTGCAATTTTGCACACGCTAGGCCCTTGTTCTTGCAATTTTGCACACGCTAGGCCTTTGTTCTTGCAATTTTGCACATGCTAGGCCCTTGTTCTTGCAATTTTGCACTCGCTAGGCCCTTGTTCTTGCAATTTTGCACACGCTAGGCCTTTGTTCTTGCAATTTTGCACACACTAGGCCCTTGTTCTTGCAATTTTGCACACGCTAGGCCCTTGTTCTTGCAATTTTGCAAACACTAGGCCCTTGTTCTTGCAATTTTGCACACGCTAGGCCCTTGTTCTTGCAATTTTGCACACGCTAGGCCTTTGTTCTTGCAATTTTGCACATGCTAGGCCCTTGTTCTTGCAATTTTGCACTCGCTAGGCCCTTGTTCTTGCAATTTCGCACGCGCTAGGCCCTTGTTCTTGCAATTTTGCACACGCAAGGCCCTTGTTCTTGCAATTTTGCACACGCTAGGCCCTTGTTCTTGCAATTTTCCACATGCTAGGCCCTTGTTCTTGCTATTTTGCACACGCTAGGCCGTTGTTCTTGCAATTTTGCACTCGCTAGGCCCTTGCTCTTGCGATTTTGCACACGCTAGGCCCTTGTTCTTGCAATTTTGCACTCGCTAGGCCCTTGTTCTTGCAGTTTTGCACACGCTAGGCTCTTGTTCTTGCGATTTTGCACACGCTAGGCCTTTGTTCTTGCGATTTTACACTCGCTACGCCCTTGTTCTTGCAATTTTGCACTCCCTAGGCCCTTGTTCTTGCAATTTTGCATTCGCTAGGCCCTTGTTCTTGCAATTTTGCACATGCTAGGCCCTTGTTCTTGCTATTTTGCACACGCTAGGCCCTTGTTCTTGCAATTTTGCACACGCTAGGCCCTTGTTCTTGCGATTTTGCACACGCTAGGCCCTTGTTCTTGCAATTTTGCACACGCTAGGCCCTTGTTCTTGCAATTTTGCACACGCTAGGCCCTTGTTCTTGCAATTTTGCACACGCTAGGCCGTTGTTCTTGCAATTTTGCACTCGCTAGGCCCTTGTTCTTGCGATTTTGCACACGCTAGGCCCTTGTTCTTGCAATTTTGCACTCGCTAGGCCCTTGTTCTTGCAATTTTGCACACGCTAGGCCCTTGTTCTTGCAATTTTGCACACGCTAGGCCGTTGTTCTTGCAATTTTGCACTCGCTAGGCCCTTGTTCTTGCGATTTTGCACACGCTAGGCCCTTGTTCTTGCAATTTTGCACTCGCTAGGCCCTTGTTCTTGCAATTTTACACACGCTAGGCCCTTGTTCTTGCAATTTTGCACACGCTAGGCCCTTGTTCTTGCAATTTTGCACACGTTAGGCCGTTGTTCTTGCAATTTTGCACACGCTAGGCCTTTGTTCTTGCAATTTTGCACTCGCTAGGCCCTTGTTCTTGCGATTTTGCACACGCTAGGTCGTTGTTCTTGCAATTTTGCACACGCTAGGCCCTTGATCTTGCAATTTTGCACACGCTAGGCCCTTGTTCTTGCAATTTTGCACACGCTAGGCCTTTGTTTTTGCGATTTTGCACACGCTTCGCCCTTGTTCTTGCAATTTTGCACTCGCTAGGCCCTTGTTCTTGCAATTTTGCACTCGCTAGGCCCTTGTTCTTGCAATTTTGCACACGCTAGGCCTTTGTTCTTGCGATTTTACACTCGCTACGCCCTTGTTCTTGCAATTTTGCACTCCCTAGGCCCTTGTTCTTGCAATTTTGCATTCGCTAGGCCCTTGTTCTTGCAATTTTGCACATGCTAGGCCCTTGTTCTTGCAATTTTGCACACGCTAGGCCGTTGTTCTTGCTATTTTGCACACGCTAGGCCCTTGTTCTTGCAATTTTGCACACGCTAGGCCCTTGTTCTTGCGATTTTGCACACGCTGCCCTTGTTCTTGCAATTTTGCACTCGCTAGGCCTTTGTTCTTGCAATTTTGCACTCGCTAGGCCCTTGTTCTTGCAATTTTGCACACGCTAGGCCCTTGGTCTTGCAATTTTGCACACGCTAGGCCCTTGTTCTTGCAATTTTGCACACGCTAGGCCCTTGTTCTTGCAATTTTGCACACGCTAGGCTCTTGTTCTTGCGATTTTGCACACGCTAGGCCTTTGTTCTTGCGATTTTGCACTCGCTACGCCCTTGTTCTTGCAATTTTGCACTCACAAGGCCCTTGTTCTTGCAATTTTGCATTCGCTAGGCCCTTGTTCTTGCAATTTTCCACATGCTAGGCCCTTGTTCTTGCTATTTTGCACACGCTAGGCCGTTGTTCTTGCAATTTTGCACTCGCTAGGCCCTTGCTCTTGCGATTTTGCACACGCTAGGCCCTTGTTCTTGCAATTTTGCACTCGCTAGGCCCTTGTTCTTGCAATTTTGCACACGCTAGGCCCTTGTTCTTGCAATTTTGCAAACACTAGGCCCTTGTTCTTGCAATTTTGCACACGCTAGGCCCTTGTTCTTGCAATTTTGCACACGCTAGGCCTTTGTTCTTGCAATTTTGCACACGCTAGGCCCTTGTTCTTGCAATTTTGCACTCGCTAGGCCCTTGTTCTTGCAATTTTGCACACGCTAGGCCCTTGTTCTTGCAATTTTGCACACACTAGGCCCTTGTTCTTGCAATTTTGCACACGCTAGGCCCTTGTTCTTGCAATTTTGCACACGCTAGGCCTTTGTTCTTGCGATTTTGCACACGCTACGCCCTTGTTCTTGCAATTTTGCACTCGCTAGGCCCTTATTCTTGCAATTTTGCACTCGCTAGGCCCTTGTTCTTGCAATTTCGCACGCGCTAGGCCCTTGTTCTTGCAATTTTGCACACGCAAGGCCCTTGTTCTTGCAATTTTGCACACGCTAGGCCCTTGTTCTTGCAATTTTCCACATGCTAGGCCCTTGTTCTTGCTATTTTGCACACGCTAGGCCGTTGTTCTTGCAATTTTGCACTCGCTAGGCCCTTGCTCTTGCGATTTTGCACACGCTAGGCCCTTGTTCTTGCAATTTTGCACTCGCTAGGCCCTTGTTCTTGCAATTTTGCACACGCTAGGCTCTTGTTCTTGCGATTTTGCACACGCTAGGCCTTTGTTCTTGCGATTTTACACTCGCTACGCCCTTGTTCTTGCAATTTTGCACTCCCTAGGCCCTTGTTCTTGCAATTTTGCATTCGCTAGGCCCTTGTTCTTGCAATTTTGCACATGCTAGGCTCTTGTTCTTGCAATTTTG